TATGATCTTAACAAGGGATTCTCCATTTTATTTGTTTTTGAGAATTATTTTGACGCTCCAGTCTTGCGAAATCACTAAACTTATTCTTATCAGAATGATGACGAATCCTCTCCTCTATTAGATAAAGCGAATAATAGAGCAAGAAGACTCCCATTGTTTCATATAAGTAACAAGAATATACTACAATTAATGATAAAAGATAAAATAAGAAATATTTAAATGTTTGGAAATGAATATTTGGACAATAAATAAAATATATATCTCATGATATTAGACTGTATGAAAACGTTGGGTTTCTCATAATTCTTGTATTCTCTGTTTTTTATTACGCAGCAAATTAATACAAAAAGGATATGCATAATTAATTGACATAAAGTTTTTCTTAACGACAATATATTTGTTTTCGATTTTCAATAGATGAATTTATTAATAGAGCGCATAATTAATATTATTGAGAATAACAGCCAATATATATTACAACTCATTTATACCTAATATATATGTGTAATGGAACTATAGGATATTCAAAAATGTATGATTGTATTCGTCATAAGAATACATCTCTTTATCGTAGGTTTTCTATTATCCTCTTCCTGACAGAAATGTCAGCTTGTTTTTATAACAAATTCTTTAATCACATATACATTCTGTTCGTTAAGTACGTGAACAATTACGTGATCATATAATTAATAGTGATGATGATGATGGTGATGATGATAATGATAATGATAATGATAATAATAATAATAATAATAAAACGTAATATCAATAATAATGAAATAATCATGTAATAATAATAATTTATTTTTCTATTACGTTATATAATGATACTTAACACTAAATCCTTCCAATGTTTTCTTTTTCTAACTTTTTACAAAAAGTTTCGATTTTGTTTTTTTCGCATATTCATTAACTTCTACTTACAAATTTAACAAACTGAGAAACTTAACCTCGTTTAAGATTTGAAAGGATTTGGAACTAGACAACGACGTTTCTCAACCCGATCTTATTGTTATATAGTTGATTATGTTTTGATATTCCTTTAGCTCTTCTTACCCTTTCATTGAGCATTACTCTTGTACATGAATTAGCGCGTCAAGCGTTGCACTACCGAATCGCTGACTAGTCTTCTTCTTCTTCTTCTTTTATTGGCTCCACAACCAGACAGATTGGAACTGAACCATTGAGTATCCGCGACTATGTAATAAATAACAAAACAATGAAGATTACAAAAGTCTAAAATAGAAACATAAATTCAGTTGCGCGTTCAAAGCCGGTCTCACTTTTCAAAAATGATGCAATAACACGTTGGCAGGTGATGATGTATGAATAGATTGCTGAATTTCTCATTATTACAATTATACTCAACTGTACTAATTAAGGCAGTGAATAACTAAGAGTAGACGAATGTACATTTTCTTTTGAGTTTTAAAAACAATCAATTAGACCCTTACCAGCACAAATTGAGTTGGAACTGCAGGTCTATAGAGACTCTCTATAAATTTCACAGTTTTGATGAACATTCTGGCACCAGGGTATCAATCATGAAACTTTTCCTAGGATGAAAAGTGAAAAATTTCTCCATTAACTTCAATGATTAAAATTTTCACTTTTCACTATCCATCCTAAGGATAAAGTTACTTGAGGGGTTAAGAAAACACAGAAATAAAATGATCTTTGAGTGGTCGCGAAACCCTAAAAAATTGTAACTCCTTTAAATAAGTCATAAAGATTGGAATTTTAACTGAAGTAATATTAAAGTTAAATATTACTTCTAAAGTTAAATATTAACTTTTTGCCTACTTTTTGACAGTTACATTTTTAATATTACAGAATTGCAAATATATTTTAGTAATCAATTTATTATATGCAAGGGCCTCTCGCTGTCCCTCGCGTCAGATGGATATCGGTGATTGCGTGATTTGTACCGATGGAAAGTCGAAATTATTTTCATCATAGAGAGTTATTCCTCGAATAATTACGTTTGGTAAAAACGGGCTGAAAATTTGCATAAAAAACATAACTTCGTAATTTCTTTTTTATGCAGACGTGTATTGTAAGGCAAAATTCGCTAAATCAACTTCTTCAGAGGGCAGTAGCGCGCGGGAGCAGTGTTTGCAATTACAGAAAAAAGATCCTCATGCCCATATCACACTAACGATTGCGTCTGTGTTCGCGTTTGTGTCCTTTGACCAATCAAAACTGCCGACCAGCAAGTCCTTTTCGATTGGTTAAAACGCGAACGCAGACGCAATTTCCAATTGCTTGTGTAATACCGGCATCATGTCCTCTCTCAAGTTTCTCTTTGGGTATCAATCATGAAACTTTATCCCTAGAATGGATAATGAAAAATGAAAATTTTAACCATTGAAGTTAATGAAGAAATTTTTCACTGTTCATCCTAGGAAAAGTTTCATGATTGATACTCTGGTGCCAGAATGTTCGTCAAAAACTGTGAAGTTTATAGATCATCTCTATAGAGTTGTAACTTACAGCGCCATTGTGAGCGTGAGATGAAGTGAGATAACACGATTTTCCCCCCTTCGCATAATTTCGAAAAATGACGGCCACTTCAATGGTAGCCAGACTCTGTTTAGAGGTCTCTAGTCAATCCGTAGTCTAAAGGTGCATAACCTGTTTTTTATAATTAATTCACAACTGCATTCTGTGCTTTTTAACTTTTAAAGTTTTAGATCTAATAGATCTTGATGCTCTAAATTTGTCTGTATTTTTACAGTACAGTCCTGTGAGCTGATTTACAGAAAGTCCAAGCTTTCTTTTTATATAAGCATTTCCTATATTTTTTAATAAAATAGAAATCGAAACTCGAAAATCTGCAGAATTACTCGTGCTATAATAACAGCTGTTATGGTGAAGGAACTATGAGTTGTCTCGCCACAACTGTGGTCTCTTTTTGTGAATTTTTTCGCACAATCTTTTCAAAATGTTGTAGTACTGACAGTTGATTGTTTGATCCTGAAGCAAAAATTGCAAAAATTCATTTCGAAAATCGCTACGAGCACTAAAACACGTACTCAAATAGCAATAACTCTTAAATTTATTTATTTTAATTAAATAAGATGTAAACAATTTTTAAAAAGCCAATTACTCGGAAGATTATAATAATTGTAGTGCTGCAAATCGCACATCGCTAGGACGTTCCGTTGTCGAGTAATTCAAAATATATAGTTCGCTTATTTTTTGATCAGATATCTCACAGCTACTAATAATTTATTTGAATTTTGTTTGCATTGTGCAAGAGCATAAGTAAAACATTTATTTATATGCACAATTTCCATGGGAAAGCGGAACAATATAGTGACAAATACACTTTTATACTCATTTAAAAAAATTGTATTCACTTAATTTATTGCAACTTTTAATATGCTTATCTTTTCAGTATATATTGAATACAAGCATTTTAATCAATAAATATCATTAAAAATTAATAAGTTCTATTCCTCGTTCCGCTTTTTCGCTCAAATTGTACTCCATGTAATATTAGGAGATCAAAATAGACGGAATAGAACACGGAAATGCAAAAATCTAGTAAAGTTTAATTAATTTTGCCTTTCGCGTTTCCGCATTTCCGCGTTTCATATCAATTGACACCCGGTCAATATTATATGCGATTGTTTTTTGTTGTACGACGAATTTTTCAAACGTGTTGATTGGCTGCAAAACAGCGAGTACTTTTATATGCATTAAACTTCTATAACAAATAAATCAGTTTTAAACTGAATAATACATAAATTAAGAATTTATACCTATATTTTTTTCTTTATAAGTAAACTAATTACAATCAAAAACATTTATTTATATACTTGATGGCTTTATTTTCTCAAATAAAGTACATATATACAAATGCATAAATTTGAAATAACCGCGTTCACGTCAAAATGGAGGCGGAGTTTATAGTATTTTATAAATCCTAGTAACTTTAGTCACTGAGTGAGAAATCCGAACGCATCCTAGAGGAGAGAATTTCTAGATATATCCTGAGATTTTATGTTGGTGACCGTGATGTCCGTGATGTCCGTGATGTCCGTGATTGTCGTTTTCTTGTTACTGTTATGCGAATGATGCGAATAGACAATAGTGGCAAATAATTATGTAATAGGTATAGGGAATACAATAAATAAATGATAACAAAAACATAAATAATTTATTCAAATGAAATAAGAATCATCATTTCTTAAGAACAGGTAATTTTTTTATATCTAACATTTATAAGATGGAAATGTTTTTTTTTTTTTATTATATTTACTGTTGTATTTGTCATTGTAGCTTTGATATTTTGAATGTTACAAGGGAGAATGTAAAATATAAAAACGTTTGATCATATTCACTCTTTATTCTTCGTATGCTGAATTGAATGATATAATAAACAAGATGAATTTTGGAGTGGATTGGGATGTTGAACATCGACGTATTTTGCTGGATGGAAATGCAGTATTAGAACGTTCGGCACAATCGGTCGCAAGATCGCAAGTTGTCGCAGCAGAGAATGAGCAAATTGGTACAGAAGTGATCTCTGAATTAGGTGAACAAAGAGATCGTCTCTTGCGCGCAAAAAGGAGGTTGTCACAGACAGATGAGGAATTGAATAAAACGAGAAAAATTCTGAATGTTATGCGACTCAAAGTTTTGACAAACAAAATTGTGCTAATCTTGATTATTTTACTAGAATTAGTTATTCTTGGTATAATTGTATACTTAAGATTTTTTCATAAATGAGTTGTCTATTATTAAGCTTGATAAAACCAAGAGGAAATAATATTGTACATAATATATATTAACAGTTGGTAGTTATGGTTAGGTAATTTTTGTAAAATTTAATGAAATAAATATGTAAACTTTCAAATAAGTTTTTCTGAAAAACTGAATTTTTTTTATTAAGATTTTTATTATTTTTTTATTTCTTTCTTATATTATTGAACTAGTTCAAGATACATTGTGATTAGGTCTCTCTCTGTGTGTGTGTGTGTGTGTGTGTGTGTGTGTGTGGGGGGGGGGGGGGTGTATTTTATTCCTGCACTCTCTGAATTAGTGCGTACTGTATAATAAGTCAAAGTGAAACAAATATATATTCGTTCCATTTTAACATATTATATCTTGTGCATTAGCTCAGCAAGTGCAGGAATAAAAAACAGATCTATTGTGAATCTACATAAAATTTTACTTAATTCTATCAATCGATAGTGAGTAGAGCAATCATGGTGAAATCAAAATCTGATTCTACTATGAGAACAATATTAAAATTGTTTATTGCTCACTTCATGTACGTTTCATAATACATTCAATTATTTTTTTATTAATCTGTCATAAATGAACAATAAGAAATTCTTGAAATGGTTATTTTGCACGACGATGAATATTATCAAAATAGAATACCCGAGCCTGACTTAGGAGCATTTCACAATTTTTTGCGATTTGTTTGGAGTCCAGATAGAAAACAGTTGCTTGGTAGAACTGGAAAAGAATGGGGTAATTATTAAGGAATACATTTTTTCAATTGCTAATTGTGAAATTATATGATTGTTTACTTGAATAGCCTTGTTGGGATTCTTTTACTTGTGTTTCTTTACCGTATTGGGTTCCTTGTTTGCATTGCAAATGTGGATCAGTATCAACTATGCTTCGAAATTAGAAAAACCGTTTTTTCTTTATAGCGGTTTGATGCCTAAATCTTATTTTGATAGCAATTTTCCGTTTTTTCGTCAATTACATTTTGATAATCCAGGTAAAATTTTCTTAAAAATTAATAAAACACACAATATGCTATTTATTTTAGTTGATTCTAATAGCCCATTAAACCAAAATGGATTGAAATTGATTTAGATTTTCAGAAATATGCATTTGTAAATATTAAAATAAACTTTTTTCAATCTGAATGTATTTTTATTCATTTATAGGAATTGCATGAAGCACATTTCTATACCTTCCAATCTAAAAATAATATCAGCTTTTTCTGTGCATTGTGAATATTGCTTAATTTAAAATTCTAATAAATAGGAAATGCAGTTTTTCTATCTAATTGATATATTTCAATGAACTTAAAATACACATAAAAATTTCAATCCATTTTAATTCATTTTCGATTACTAGGAGGATATCCTTGAGATTATAATATTTTGTTTAAACAGGAATTGCCTTCAAACCGAATATTTTGTTACCCACAAAATCTCCTATTATTTGGATAGATAATGTTAATAAGAACGCTCGACCAAAAAGATATGTGCAAGCCTTAAGTGACTTTTTACAAGGTATGGATACATCAGTTGAAAACAAATAATGCGAGCATTAATAATTAAAATCTTTAATTAATAATCCAGTATCCGGAAAGAGATTGAAATAGATAGATATAATTTCGCGGAGTTATTGCCGAATCCAAATTCTCGATTTTTTCGTATCCTTTTCCCTTGACAAGGGATTGAAACTATGAAATTTCTATTTTTTTTCAATCGAAAAAAAGTTTCGTGAACAAAAATAAGTTGCGCAATTCATTTTCATTCATGATACAGGATTGGAATGACATAATTGCTATTCAGTCCAAAACAAGTTTGAGAATCTTAAATCCAATTTTACTCATAATACAGGATTACAGAAGTCTTATTTTTTAATTGAAAAAAAAATTCTTGGGTCATGAAATTATAATTTGTGACACAGAAGTGAAACAATAATGTATTATTTTTATTTCAATAATGCACAAAGATATAATAATTTTATACAAAATATTACAATACAGAAAGCTAATCAAGTCAAGTCTGAATGTTTTTTCTAGTAAGAAATAAAATCAGTATTATGATTTTTTTTAAATGTTTTTAATCTTTAATATAGTTCTCTTCAGTGATTTATTTCAAATGTCAGATATATCAATAATTAGATGTCAAATAAATTTGAACAGTTATGTTATTATCAGTTATGTTATTATCAGTTATCTTGAGGAATATATCAATTGTCCATTGAGCACATTTAATATGATGTGATATATAGATACTATATAGATACTATATTCCTCAAGCAAACTGATATACTAATGCCCGTATTTATAGTCAGACCTTATATTTAAGGCTTCCTTAAATTTATCTTTAGATGCTCAGTAATCAATGAAATAATTCGTAGAACATCTAAAGATAAATTTAAGGAAGCCTTAAATATAAGGCCTGACTATGAATGCGGGCAATTGTCAAGACAAACATTATAAGTAACATATTAATTTGTTTGAGGAATGTATAATATTTACAGATCCTATGTAAATGTATTAATGGACAATATTTCTCAAGATGGCTGACAACAATGTACATAAAATTTATTTGACAATTATTGATGTATCCGACATTTTAAATAAATATGTGTTACTGAAGAGAACCATAGGTCTATTCTTTATTCCTGCACTGTCTGAATTGGTTCAATTGATACATACGGTGCAATAAGTTGAAGTGAAACATATGTATATTTGTTTCATTTCAATTTATTGCATCATGTGCATCAGTTCAGGTAGTGCAGAAATAAAGAACAGACCTCGTATTACAGATTGGAACGTTTGGAAGAAATCATAATACTGAGGGCCTCTTTCATCAATCCTAATTAATGCTAATCGGTGGTAATAACTTAACACAGTGTGCTTTCTAACGAGCAAATGATACAATGGATCATTACATCCTTGTTGTTTGCCAATGTTAAACAAAGATGACATGATCACTATCATACTATGTCACTTGTTGGAAGACACACACAATCATCACGCCAACATGAGAACTAAACACAGAAGAGGAAGAAAAAGGCGATGTTTTAAACTGCTATTGACACTTCGAGTTGATCATCGATTAATTTAACCAGAAATTGATGAAAGAGGCCCTGATTTAAATTATTATATTTCAATTTTTGACATAAAATTCTTTAAAATGTTCTTTGAAATGTCTACGGCTCGATGCCGTATGGCGTTTTTAAAAATTTAAAATAAATCGGCTCAACTCAAAATGGCAGCTGGAATGAAACAACATGGATGCATTCGAGGAGCGCTATGTAATACTATCTTTTTCATACCTAGACGATAAAGATAGAATAACACATAGCACTAATAGCGTCTCCCCGAATGCAGCCCATATATTAAGGTGAAGTTCATTGGAAATGATTCCCCTTTTTTGAATATTTACTGAGAACAATTTGGCTTCAATTCAGATTTTTAAAATATGAATTTATTTAATTTCTGTTGTAAATTCTTTAAGTGTATTTTAGATGTAAAAGACAAATTTTTTTTGATGGAATTTTTTTTTATTCAATCAATTAAATGGAAATTGATTGGAGAAATTTTTACAGCAAAATGTTGTCTATTTCAATAAAAATAAGGAAAAAAATGGTAACTAACGTTTTCATTTTAGAATATAATAAAAGTAAAGAGAACTATAAAACAGTTACGGAATGTAGTGATGGTGCATTAATCACATCTAATACAAAACCTTGTTTTTTCGATATTGAAAGTCTTGGTGTTTGTGGGCAACCTCCGTATGGATATACTGATCCATTACAACCGTGTGTTCTCATTAAGTTCAATAAGGTAATAATTCTGTTTTTAAAAAATATAAGAATAATATAATTAATAATGAGAATGTTCAGCAATAAAGTTCTTTTTAATGTTTGCCTGGAAAACAGAGATTACGATATTATATTACATGTATTTTATACAATATCAATAAAGATGGCTCAAAATAGAGCCATACTGCGCTAAACTCTCATTGCTAATGACATTTTTATACTCTTTATTTTATTAAGAATTTTTCTCTCTCTCATTTTTGTCTATTTTATAGAAAAGATATTTTCTTGATTAAAATTTACATTTTTGTTAATTTAATCTTGATGGAAAAATTTTAACAAAATTTTGATGAAATTAGCTTAATGTTTCAATAAATTTAATGAAATTTTAATTATTCTCTGAATTAGTTATTTTCTGTATTTAACAGATGATATAATATTTTAATGTTATTTTAATTAAAAAATGAAATTTTAACAAAAATTACTACTACTGTTTTTTTAATAAAAAAGGAAGAAAATTTTATTAAAAATATTGTATAACGAATTTTAAATAAATATTAAATACTTATGCTCTTTAAAGACAAATGGCACTATATACACGTATGTATATTAGAGTAGTTCTCATTCTCATTTGGTTGAAATTTTGTTTCCGAGTTCTTTCCACAGGATTGCTTAGAATAGTTTCAATTTACAAAAAATAATCCCTGCTAAATTTTAATTCGATCGAGACAATGAGAACTAGTACAGGAACAATGGCTAGTTAAATGTATGAATTATTTTGTTTTCAACTTTCAACATTATCAGCATTGATTTTTAAAGCGTATTTAAACAATTAGGTGAATTGCTAAATATTAAAAAATAAAAATAAATAGTTATTGCGTTTTTTGATTATTCGAATTGAAAAAATTGTGATCCATGAACTAAAGAAAGTGTTAACAATATATTTGGGAGACAAAATGAGTTTAAAAAATGAGAATTTTTTTGTTTTTATTAATAAAACGATTTCTTACATTTAACATTATGAAGCTACAACAGTTTATATGAAATTTATGACAATTATAGATACAATTTCTTATTATTAAATCAAACTAAAGATTTACTGATATTTTTTTAGTACTTTGGAATTATTCAAGATGATAAGTTAATGACTAACAATTAACAATCTCAAGATGATATCAATAACTAAATAATTAACTAACAATTATTAATTATTATATAATGTAAAAAATCATTTTGTTAATAAAAATATGAAATTCATCATTTTTAAAAATTCATTTTTTATAAATTGTCAACCTAATGGACTGTAGACTTAAACTGATATAGAAGCAATTAAACCACGCTTATCTACAGATTCTCAATAAGTTATAATGTAATATTGTTTATTGTTTTTCAAATTGACTAATATGTATAGTCTTTCTTTGTTTCAATATGCGTGACAGTTATTATTTGACTAAATTTCGTACTGACGTAGCTATTTTTAATTTTTTATTAATTTTAATTTTATCTTGACATATGTGTGTTGTCAAAATCATAACTCTGAATAACATACAACAGATTTTAGTTGGCGGTCGTTATTCATTAAAAAATTACGAACTAATAAAGAATTAGAATTGACAAGAACCGAAAATTCTTGTGAAATAGTACATTTATAGATTTTGTTTTTGACGCTTTAGACAAGGAGAAAATATGAATTGAATTTCGCTTTGCATGGAAAGTGTATATTTGATAGCAGGTTCACCCTACCTTTCCCTATCTCGGAGCGTAGGACTTTCCACACGAAGCGAGGTCCATCCCATCTCCCCCTCCTATTTAGGGGCGTGTGACTTTCTATTTTTTCCATATGAACCGAGATCCACTCTACAATCAGATAATGGTTGCGTTAGGTTAGGATTAAATTGATGTGGGGATGCAGGGGGCCGGAGCCCCTTCCTTGCCACGTGTTCTTTCTACGAAACTAATTGAATAGGACAATTAGAATAGGACAATTGTTGAAATTGTTTCACTTTAAAAGCAAAGAAGGGAAGAACGCATTTGTTAACATTTTAGTAAATTAATCAAAATAATATAAAACATAAAATGAATTTTTGAAAAATGACAATTGAAATTTCATTAAAGTATTCCGTACACCATACAGCACCAAAAGTTTTCAGAAATATCTCAGAAATATTTCAACTGAAAAGTGAAACATTTCATAAAAATTGCGAAATATATCAATACATTTCTGAGACAGCTTTAAAATAGCAAAATGTTCGCGATTCTTGCATATGACATCTTATTGAAAGATTGATGAAATATTATAGAAAGAATCTATAATCTTTTTGAAATAAATCAGTATAATATGGTGAATGACTTTTTTCGAGCCAACACAGGTTATTAATATATAACAATTTATTATTTTCTTAAAAAATTGAACGGTAAATGTGTTTTGATCTCTGTTTTCGGGTCCTCTTCAGTACAGTATACAATTAAAATAATAAAATAATTAAATACATGTTATGCGAGTGATTCTTCTAAAACGCATGTCTGGTTCAGAACTTTTTGAAATATTGCCAAAAAAGTTTCGGCTATTTCTAGTACTACAAAAATGATGTCTAAATATATACTTGATTGTGGACATAATAAATTTAAATATTGTTTAAGTATCAATTAAATATATATTTAAATATGATTTCTGAAGTACGTACTTAAAATTTATTAAGAATTTTGGCCATTAGTCATACGCATTTGTGATCTGTTTACAGATTACAAAACTTATTGATAATAAACTTAAGATGTTTCTCAAAAATAGTAATTGTACCATCAATTATTTTGATTAATTAATCATATTATATGTATTAAGCATATACATAATTCACTATTAAAAAATCACACTTGCAATTTCTACACAATATCATTATTCATATACGTAGATCATTCGATAAATTTGATAAATCTTTATAAACAAATTTTTTTAACGTGACACCTGGAAAATATCATTCTTCAAACTCTTCCAGGTCAAATTTCAACCAGAATTGATGCGTTGTTCACGTTTGGTAGTTGTTTAAAGCGAGCGAGAAATTAAGCAGTTGCCGTTTTTTATAAAATAAAAAAGGAAACAAATTCTATGCAAAATTAAGTGGATGAGGAATCAATTCGAAGTCAAATTCTGTAATTTTGCACGGAATTAATTTTTTTTCGCAGCAACTGCTAAATTTTTCGCTTTAAATGATTACGTTTTAAACGAATGTGAACAACATATCAATTCTAGCTGATATTTGGTCCGAAAGGATTAAAGAGTGACAATTTTCTGGTGTCATCAAATGGATTGTTACACCATTTTATAAAGATTTACCGAGACTTATCGAGCAATCCTCGTACAAAAGTTTTTCAATTAAAGTAGAACATGTCATAAAATGACATTAAACTGAATCATGATTGATAAAAAAAAATGTTTACTTTTAGTAAACATTTTGAAGCAATTTTAACATCATGATTTTCTGTTTAAATATGTTTTTTAATTTATTGCTTATGATAGATTTTAAAAACATTTCTGTTAAAACATTTCATATGACATATTGCAGAATCCTTTCAGAATTGTTACGCATGAGATGTGAAAGGTTGAAACATTTCTGAAAACTTTCCACAATAATCGGTGCTGTATGGGATCATTAAATTTTTTATTAAAATTTTTTATCATGAATTATGATAAAAATATTTTTAAAAATTATAATTATATTGCAGAGGTTTAATTGGGTACCAATTCCTTACAATAAATCATCTCTCTTACCAGAGAATATGCCACCTGCTTTGCAGGAAGCTGTGCAATTTTCAAACAAGGTTTGATTCAAATTTATCATGTATTTAATAATTAGTGTAATCGAATTTGTTTATTCAGTAGCACTCTATTTATACGAACAAATTCGTGCTCAGTTCCAATTAAAGGAATGTATAGGTACAAGCTCATAGGCTGGTAATCCATTCTTATTTTAAGACAATTTTAAGTAAAGTACTGTCTTCAGATGGTTCTGTGATGTTAATTTAACGCTTAAATAAGGATACGTGGAGAAAAAAATATCAGAAAGCCAATGTCAGATTATGGATTGACGATTGACGTAATGACGATTTGCTCTGTTCTATTTCAGACGATAGACTCGCTTCATTTTAATTAGAATAAGATTGGGCAACAGTTAATCGTAATCGTCAGTCCATTGTCTAATGTGAATAGAACGGAACAGTAACGGAAAAGAGCTGTGATGGAGATATTTATAGCCAATTAGAGTAACTTTATTTTAATTCATTTCGTTCATTTCGTACGCTGTTTAGTGGATGGGTTTATCATGGTACGGAATTATTGTGGAAAAGAAATGGAAAAATTTCTAATTTCTTCATCAACATCGATTAATTAACGAAGTGTCGATCCTTTTGTAACATATTTCTATATCTATTATAGTATATATACTAATTCGTATTAAAGCCCAACTTTGAGAACTCACATGCGAAATGCTCCTTATATTCTTTCCCAGGTGATTCTTATTTATGAGTTAATGCATCTCCACCATCGCCCTTTGTCGGCGAAGATGCATAATCCCCACGGATGATTTTCGCAGATTTTCGTGATAACATTTTGTTAGCAACGAACTATGATGGCATCAATTAAACAATTTGATAACTTGAAGACGTGACAACCATTGAATATCGTTTACATATGTTTTGTTGCCGTCATATTTTCGTTATAATGCTTAAGATGGAATGATTAATTGTTCCTTGCTATCAGCAATGCTTATGTTGCTGTCAGCATAATGCTGATGTACCGCTATTGCTGACCATTTGTCTTTGAAATTTCATTAACTGATTGCATATATATGTAATCATATTGCTGCATTCGTAATGTGTACTATTTTTATGTCAGTAAATGTATGCCAAATATAAGACAATTCATGCAATGCATCAGTTTGCTAAATCATGCTTGATTATCTGGGTTAAAAGAGTAAACAATGTAGTTGATTATGTATTCATAAATCTAAAAAACATAAGAACAAAATTGTTTACCTTGTGTAGCTCCTCATTTGCAAAATTTTGAAAAAATAAGCGAAGTTTTAGTTGTCTCCCGAAAAGTTTAGGAAATTTTTTTTTTATTCTATTCTGTTATGAGTTTTGATAATATCCCCTAAAAAGTATTTAAAACTCTCAATAAAATGCCGGATTTTCGAAAAAAAATGTCGACCTGCGTGGACTTAGGAAAATTTAAAAGTAGAAACTTCAAAGTAATAGAACTTTTTAGATATTAGTTTCAGCGCATCGATTATTAAAGATAATCTTTAGAATTGTTTAGAGGGCTATCAGAATTCAACAGAATAGCCGAAATCTAAAAAAAAATTTGTGTGGAAATTCGGTATTTTCTCGGGAGTTCTAGTTGCCCTCCAAAGAATTCTATCGATTGTCTTATATGAACATAGTGTTACAATGAACAGTAAAAAAGTTATAGTCCTTCAAGGTTTCGAAGTCATAAACTTGCCCCCCCCCCCCCAAACTTCAAATGGTGTTTTCACCGCTTTAATCGACGGAACTCCTTCTAAAATTAATAGAGAACTCTAGAATTCTTCAGGGGAGGAGGAGGGCAACCAGAACTCTTATTTTTTCATAATTTTGAAAATGAAGGACCACCTTCATAAAGGTAAATTGTTCATTTGGACAGACTGGCGATCTTTTGTGAGAGATAGTTTTACGAAGTAAGAAGAATTACTTTTTAGGAAATATCGATTACGTTTGGAACCTGGACTAAATATTTGGACTAATAGAATTAATTTGTTAATTAAGAAAAGAAATACATCACACTCTTGATTTGGGTTTTTAGTTGTTCGCTTTGAGGAAAGAAAGGAGAAACACTGCTATTCCGAGAAAAGGAATTGACTTTCTGGAAGAGACCAAAGATTTCGAGCAAAAAGATGAGTGGCTGTAGAAAGTTTCTTTCGGGCGGAGAGAAGTTGCTCTGGACTGAAGAGAATTTCTTTTGATCGAAAAGGAGTTGCAAAAGGTTAGTTATGAGAGTTTGTTCTAAAGACTGTCTCGCTCACAGTTTTTTTTTCGTGGTTTTTCGTAATGAAGTTAAAGCGAATGCCGAAATTAGAATATAAGGAGCGACTTCTCTTTGCACAAAAGAAACTTTCTACAGCTCATCTTTTTTCTCGAAATCTTTGGTATCTCTTCCATTGCCAGAAAGTCGATTCCTTTTCTCGCAGTAAACAGCAGTGTTTATACAATATTCTGAACGTTTCATCGATATACATTCTGTAACGGTTCCTTTACTGTTCCGGAATATTCGATACATTGGGAATACAAAAAATCGAACTTTTTATGATATAGTTTTAATAGTTATAATAGTTTTAATAGTTATAATAGCGTTAGCTGGGTATGCAAGCTTTTAAAGTTAATATGCAAACTGGTAGATAATTAAAAATTTTGGAAAAGCGAGCCATTTTCTATCGATGAAAAAGTTACGATAGAAAAAGTTACGTGATAGAACAATTTCAACATCAGATTTAATTTTAAACCGTAAAAATATAATAAGGATATCATACTCTCCGGATCAAAAAATTCTTTTTTGTGTGCCTGTGTTATTATATAGTAACATGATGGCGTAACATGCTTTTGACGATTTTAAAGTTGGCAAGTTGCTATCTAAAGTTGTCATATCATGAAGGTAACAATTTGATAACAATTTGCTAACAATTTGCGAACTTAGTAGTGAGATTCTCTAAGGCCCGGTTGCACCAATGTTACTTTGACTTTAAGACTTAAAACTCAATCTGTCTTGTTTTAAAGCAAAAAAAAAACAGACAGAAAAAGTTTTAAGCCTCGCTTAAAATCAAAGTAATGTTGGTGCAATCAGGCTTAAACGTCTTATCGATGATTGTCGCTATCGTTAAATATAGCGACAGCCAATGATAGAACAATCCTAGAAGAAAGCACGGCTTTCATTGGCTGTCGCTAGCGATATTAACGATAGCGACAATTGTCGATAAAACGTTTAGAAAATTCCGCAACAGGTGTTGCAATTTTGATAGCATTTGTATGCTTGCAAGCAATATGCCAGCAACAAGATACGTTGTTATCTGAATGCATGTGTATGTGTATTCATGCAATTTATTCTATAATTAAATAGTTTCAAATCTGGTTATGGTGTGATGGAGTGAATAACGTTGATAAAGAGCATATCGGAGAAATTGAGTATTTACCAAGTCCTGGATTTTCTGTGCAATATTTTCCGTTTATTGGTCACCCAGATTATTTGACACCGATAGTCGCGCTGCGTTTTAAAAATGTCACACGTGAGCCACCAAGATATATATGATTATAAAAATTATACGTTCAAATGTTTCAGAAATAGAAAATAATTATTTAGAATCTTAGGCCCGATTGCGTCAAAGTTACTTTGATTTTAAGCGAGAATCAAGACTCTCTGTCTCTTTTTCGGCTTTAAAATGAGAGAAAGAGTTTTAAGTTTCGTTTAAAGTCAAAGTAACGTTAGTGCAACTGGATCTTAGTATTTAAAAAATGTTATTGATATATTCTTGTAATTATATAAAAAAAATTTAGTATAAAATTTTGTTCATGTACAGAACCCCTATTCTTGAAAAGAAACGTATACGACCAACTAGGGAAATACTATAATACACATTACATATACTATATATTAACTAGTTATTATATACGTTTCTTTTCAAGAATAGGAGTCCTGGGTGTTTGATAACGTACATTGAGCTTAGAACACTGGAGGCGGAATTATCTATGCCAGTGCTGAGATTTACTTGCATAATATTTAATAATACTAGCAGACTCTTTATTTAGTGTATGTATTTGTCCTTTTTGCTTTTCATAGTTATAACAAAATATTGTTTTGTATTACTCATAAAAGATTTAATAAATTTTGTAAATAGTCATATTTATATAATAAATTGAAATTATTGATTACTAATTTTTTAAATAATATGGATAACAAATATTGTATTTTATATTAATACAACGTTTTTAGTGTTTAGATTAGTGACGGTGGAATGTAGTTTATGGGCACTCAATATTAACAAAGATGCACAGAATGCATTGGATTTTCAACTAATTCTGGGCGAACTATAAAAGGCGATGATCAACAAATATCTTTATGTACCTTAAATATTTATTAACAATTATGCAAATATAATAAAAAGTTGGATTATTGTTAATATACTTTGTGCAGAATGTGAAAAGTAACTTTTATTCATCCACAATTCTTATAATTTCGCATTAAACATTTATTCTAATTTATAAAAAAATCTTGTTGTTGTTAATAATAATTGCTTTATTATTTATTATATTTCATTAATAATATAGGAAAATGGATAATTTTCTGGATATTGTTTTGTTCAAAGATTTTAATGTGAGGTATATTTATACAAAAAAAAATGAAAGCTGCGATTATACGTATGATAATATATTTTTGTTGATAGACTCAAACTGTTTAGATTTTCTGAGATAGCGAAAGTATGTTCAATTCATCTCATAAATTAAAAGACTAATAAACCGATTCTACTGACGGAATAGTAGCTTAAGACTATACAGAGAGTTCCATTTTTACAGAATTTATTACTTTTATTAAAATAAAGAATTAATATCTTTATTATATATGAACGAGAAGAGGGCAAGACGAAGCTTTATTTATCGACAAACATTTATCTTTTGTACACTTGTGAATTATGTTGAAATTTGTTTTTCTCAGATTCGTCGTCCCTTCTGGAATCAGCAGTGTTCTCTAGAGCAAAAAGATGAAGACAGGTAGAGAAAGAGAGAGAAAGAGAGAGAATAGAAAACGAAATGAGATAGATCAAATGATAAAGAGAGATAACTAAGAAAAGATAGAAAAAGATTCATAGGAAGAGAAAAGAAATAGATATAGACCAAAAAAGAGAAAAAAAATATTAGAGGAAGGCGAAAAATAGCAAAAAAGGCAATGAAAGAATGACGAAGAGATGCAAAAAAGAGAGAGAAACAGAAAGAAAATGAGAAGTAGTAGTAGTTTAGATTAAGTAATATAGTAGTTGCATACTGTCATATTTTTGTCACTGAGTAAAAGAGTATGAGAAAAGGAAAAAGTTAGGAGGAAAGAGAGAAAACAGGAAAGAGAAAGAATTGCATATAAAATATCTGTTCTCTTTTGAGGCAAATTTTGTATGAATATAACATTAATATGAGACTTCAATTGAGGGACATTCTTTTCTTGATGATACAATTTTAGATCTTATTCTTCTTCTTCTTCGCCCGTGCCGGTCAACATGGCAATTAAGCTCGGAGTATCAATGAAGCCTTTATCATCGATGTACATTTGATCAAATGCGTCATTCACCTCCTTTGGTGTGAATTTATCGCCCCACGTCACTAAAGCGTGCCTTAACCTATATAACAGACGTAAAAATCATCTTATATACATATAAATCCATCTCAAAACGCTACGATTGATGCCATTTCAGGACTTTAATCCAGGCTCTACACACACACGCGCGCGCACACACACAACATGTAATTAAAATAAGGTAACAAACTTTAGGGCCGAGGTCCCCACACTAACATGAAAAAGTTCATATGAATATGTCTGCAATCCACTGTTTATACCGACATATCTTAAAAAAATATCTTAAAATGTTCAAGTATCATGTTTAATCCCCACAATCTAAATCTTCTAGATTTTTATTTGTGGAGACACTTATGCCCGTTTCCACCAATGTAGATTAACTTTAATCTCGATTCTACTTATTCTTCGTCTTTTTCTAGTTCTAAAGATTAGATTAACATATCAAATTTTTTGACATATCAGTTTCTGTAAGAAGTACTTATATGATAACTTCTAAAGTAATTCTCAATATAATATATGTGTGTGTGTGTGTGTGTGGGTGTGGGGGTGTGTGTGGGCGTGGGTGTGGGTGTGGGTGTGGGTGTGTACCTTTCGCCGTCGATTTTGCCATTCTCATCGAATGTCTTAAAGGCATTGATTACAACATCGTCATCATCAGCACCTAACAAAACAAGAATTATTCAGTTTTAAAGCGTTTTTGTTTCTTCAATTAATAAATTGTACTTACCTGATCCTGACATACGAACGGCGAATAAATTTATCAGTTGAGTGAAGTTGATAGGCGCAGCAGCTTCGTTAAGCATTTCCTCAAGCTCCTTATCAGTTGCTAATCGACCGACAGAATCGAAAGCTGCTCGAAGATCATTCTTACCAATAATACCATCCTTATCCGCATCCATTAGTTGAAATGCCTGTGAATACAACAGAACATTTAAAATATGAATACAATAATATGAACATGTAATATTTAATATTTTTATATTTCTTCAAACTGAAATTCTGACCTTCCATTATACATTTGTTAAATAAGAGTTAAGAAATGAGAAATCTATTCTAAATATTAATTATCAAAAATTATATAGGAAAGAGTCAAATAATTTTTTAAAAATTATAACAAGAATAGGGTCGTCGACTACAAGTCAAGCAAGAACTTGATGCTATATTAATAAACAAACAGAAAGTTTATTAGAACACTGGTTTCAATTTTAATCGGGTCATTCTCAATGTTAACAATTTTAAATTCAACTAGTATTAACTAATTATCATTGCTCTGATTACATTAAAACAATAAATTTCAAAGAAAGAAAACATCATTAAATCGTTATTGTAATGTATGTATTGTCTCGTCAATAGATGTCTTAAAGTAGAATTAAACGTAAGTAGCCAAATGCACAATTCTTCAAACTATCCGAACTATTAACTCATTTAAAGATTTTCCTATTCCAACCCAAGTGATCTATATTTTTCTATTCCAATTCAGTAAAATTTAATTACAAAGAATTAAAAAAGTAAAAGTATAAAAGCTGAAAAAATTTATTTCAAATAAATTTTTACAGTAAAAAAACTTGATGCTGATTAACAATACAAAATGCATGATATCACCATAAAATTATCCTTTTTACAAAAAGGTAATAAAAAGTCGCTTAATGTATGCGCCTGTATGTGTGCTCTCGAAGAAAAAAATGACTTTCTATTCCAAACTTATTTATTTAAAAGGCGCGCGTTTTACACTTAGTGCCTTTTTTACCTTTTTATAAAAAAGATAATTTACTAATTTGTGGTGATTGAGAATGACCTAATTAGGATCGTATATTCTAATAAACTTTGTTTGTTGTTTAATAATATATCATTAAGATCTTGCTTGACTCTTTATTCTTATTATGGAGGTCTCCTGCTTTAAGAGACCGAAAAAAATGATGATTTTTCGTAATTTTTTTTTAAAAAGAAAACTAATATTTATTTATTATTATTTTAAAACTTTTTGTTATAGTTTTAATATAATTATTGTAGCGTACAAATGCGAAAAAAAATTCTAAATAATAAAAATATAAACATTTAGTTTGGTATCTCTTCATGACGTTATGATTTTATGTATGTTCTAGCGTAATTTTTGTCGGAAACAAAAAATTAAGAAATATTTTTAATTGTTACAGTTTTTCATCCTAAATGAATCTAAAAAATTTAAAAAAATATATATAAATTAAAATTTTGTGCGATTTTTAAAAAAATTATAGTTATGATTAGGTAGCAACCGTTTCTTTATGCAAAAGAAAATTGTTGATGTTTATTTTTATTTAATTTTTAAGTTCATCGAGGATGATTATTAACTAACTGACGAGCCCTATAAAAAGTCGATTGGTCAAATACTTTTTTTCAATCGTTTTGAACACAAACTTGAAGAAAATGCAAAAAAAAAACAGATTTCGAAAAAAACGCGTTTAAAGTTTTCGATTTAGTTCTTGAGTTCTTACGATGCTCGGAGGCTAATCTGTTATATTCCAGGGATATAACATATAATAATTCTTCAGCTTCCTCATAGAATTCATTTTGAGCCATTCTACGAGCTACTAGAATCTCTTTCGTGCTACTAACAAGGAAACCAACCCTCACCGATTTTAATGAGATTTTTGGATATGTTGAGAACATGAAAAAATATTAAACCTATATTTTTTGTGTTTATTTCGAGATTTAGGGAGTGAAACACTCTCTCGAAAAAAATCTTTTTTTTTTCTTTTGAAGCAAATATCATCGAAACTACAAGAAATAGAAAAAATTTTTCAGAATGAAAATTGAATGGCTTTAAGAGTATTTTAAAACTTAATATTAGGTGTTGGAATTAATTCGTAGCGTTTTTTAATGAAAGAATGTTATTTATTTCACATGAGCATTAAAAAATACATTAATGAAAGTACTTCCCATCACTTGTAAAACGCTACGAATTAATTCCAACACCTAATAATAAAAAAAATTGTTCTAATTATTTATTATATTTGCGTGCCGTGCACCCATATATACAAGCACTTAATTTATAATTATTACTATCGAAGGGCTTTGAATTTCGCTTTAAAATTTTAGGGACATATTCTCGAAGAGAATTATCGTTGTATTATCGATTTATGAAAAAAAAAAATTGACTTTTTTTACCCTTTAGAGCAGGATCTTCTTAATTATTAGCTTAATCGAGTGATGTTTTTTAAGTCCGCAAGACTAATATATTGAAGATTTCCTCTATTCTGTTATAGTAGATTCCTTAATCCTTAACTTTAAGGAGGAATACAGATATCCAAGGATAGCAGTGCCAGAGTAGAAAGATCCAAAATAGAGACGAATTTGAAGTAGAATTAGAATTGTGTGTAAAATTATATCTTAAATGAATCATACCTCCTTAAATTCAGCTACTTGTTTCTGAGAGAACATGGAAAATACACTGGATCCGCTGCGTTTAGCCTTGCGACTGCCACGGCTGCTTGCTCTAGCAGAACCAGAATCTTTTGGTGTACCTGTTGGAGTTGGTGCTTTTTCTTCTGGCGCTGGCTCGGGCTCGGGTGCTGGCGCCTCTTCCTTCTTCTTAGTCTTCTTCTTCTTCTCTTTATCCGCCTAGAATGAAATACCGCAATATTTTGTAATATGTTTTAAGTACTTTTTACTATTTTTTACTATTGTTAGAAAAAACTGAGATCACAAGAGATACATGTAATAGTTTTATTTTAAATATCTAAAATAATCTAATTATTATTATTAATAAAAAAATAATCACTGTGATTAATGATAAGGATTCTTTCTTAAAAAGTTTCCAAATAATTTGTAAACGTTTGTTTCAAATATAATTCAAAATTACAAACTTTATGCCTAAAGAATCTTTTTTTTTTATTTTAAAACAATTAAAAATTTTAAAAACGATATAAGAATACCAGATGTTTCATTCCCGTGAATGCAACCAATCAGACATTAGTCAAAAATGTTATAAGTCAATACAGAACCGCTATTAGAAATCTGCTACTAATAAGGTCTCAAAATTAAATTTCACTGCCATTATATGCAATAAAACATATTGTATTCTTACATCATGATTTTAATTTTTTAAATATCGAATATATATTTTTTTTTAAATGCTTAAATATCTAGACAGAGAACATTTAGTTTTAAAAATATATTTTTTTTACATTTAGGATACATACCATTTTTTGTTTTAAATAATTTTAGAAATTTTTCATTAAAAATGATTCGACTTTAACTTAAATAATTTATGATTTTATATAATTTATGTTTTTATAAAAAAAGGTAAAAAACATTTGTTAAAAATGATACAAGTAGAAAAAATCATTTTTTAAATATATATTAAATTTAATCAATCCTTATCAAATAGGTATTAATTAATAGATGACGTATACAAATGACTAAATAAAGAAAAGAAATTTAATTAAAAAATATTACGCTTGATTATTACACCGGATTAGAAATATAATATATTTTAAAATATAAATTGTTTTTATTTATCTTAAAAAACAGACTCAGAGAAAAAATAAAAAAATTTATTTCGATTTCTTTATTAAGAATAAAAAGGAATAAATTGAACTAAAATATAAAATTTATTTTGTTAATATATGCATAATTATGTTTATTGGAAATGAACTCTGTAAATGAAATTGAGAAGCCTAGTCCAATTATCGCGCGAGAAAATTTATGGGGCGCTGCCGGTGCTAAGAATAGAATAGCATTGTGAAGCTGCCAAGACGTATATAGAGTGAGCATTCAGTTATCACACTGCCTCTCGTATTACCATTCTTATATAATTATTTTTACTGTTATAATTAGAAAAATAAAACTGTATTACTATCGGGAATATATATTTTTTATTTTACTAGCAAAATAAATATCTTCTATATGAAATAAAAGTTCCATTTTTTCCATCATTTTGCTCTATAAAAATTTTATATGTTTGTGTAATAAGTGTAATGTGTTTATTTTCATTTTTATTTAATTTTAAATCTATCGTGTACATTAAAGAGAAAAGATACTTCAACTGAATGAGAAAATGATATTGTATTTGCAATTCCATAGTGACTTATTATTATAGAGTTGTGGTGAAAGTATATACTTGTTTGTTATGTGTGTAAATATGTTTAATTTTAAAATTTCAGAGAAGAAGTGATGATTTTGCATATTCATTTACAGTTCATGATGAAACTAGCAATATCAGACTTTCGAGCGGCTTGAAAAAATCTTACGAAGATCACTGATGCTGCACTTTATTGTCACGAATATATAATGTCAATGGCAGCTAATCACTTAGCATATATCGGTTCCGGTACAGCGCGTAATCCATCTTTGTTGAATGCACTTATATTCGCAGTTTGAATTTCTGCATATCGATCACATAGATATAAACTTGGTCCTTCGTATTCCTTTCGATTCGGTAGATCATTGCGCGATTCTCAAACAGTCCATAGACGGCGTTGACAAGGCACATTTCTCGTACTTACCATTATCTATAGATCGATTTCTAAGAGATGGACAATACGAGATGGTCACGATGTACCAACTGTCCGAATCAAAGAGCCGAACTTGTCTAAGTAACTTCTGCGGATCTCCCCCACCAGCGAGCCGCAGGTTGTTCAAGTCGAAGTATTCTGCCCCGGGTATAGCGTCTATCTGACCATATTTAGTGCGAGTCGCCTCAAAATAGCGACCCTTTCGACGTTTCAAATAAAACAGTTCGCCAGGGAGTTAAAACTCTGACGGTTCTCGTACCAACGGAGACGACATCTCAGCGCTAGGATACCGATTTCCTGACCGATATGAGTCTCAAGCGCTCATAAATAATTATACTTGGAACAAGTATAATCATCGAAACGATTTTTTCTTTACATAACACTATGAAACAGAATAAAAAATTTATTTATTTTATTATTATATCTATTTAATTTATTAATGACGATTTTTCATAAATCCAGTCCACGATATTACTACACGTATTATTATTAATTGAGTTTTCGGTTTAAAGCAGGATGTCTCAAACACGTGGGCATTATAAATGACTAACTGTCTGATGTATTCAAGAATGCATATATGTTTTTGCAAATATATACGATGTTACATATGTATACAGGGTGTAATGTCCTGCAATTTTTGGCAAAACGCTGTCATGTAGATAGAACGGACTAAACTGAGTCGAAAAGTCCTCTACCATTTTGCAATTTTCGCAATGATTAACGAGATATAGATCGCCCAGAGAATGCACGTTCTAGTGACGAAGAACATTTGGCGGTAAGCCGGGCAAATTTGACCTACTGCCTTAATATATTATAGACCGTGTTACTTGCAGATATTGAAAGAAATGATATTGTTGTGTTACTTTTATAAAAAAACAAAATGAAATTAGCCTTAAAAAATGTTTTTTTAATATTTAAAAACTTTTAACATTATATATGTAGGTTTTCTTAAAAAAAATATCTCTTAAAAATATTTTTTTTACTATTATTTAAAAAAAATATATATATATACACACTTAACACTTCTTTAATTATATATTTTTAATACATAATAATAATTAATAATTATGCACGCGTGCACGTGCGTATGAATATACATAATAAAACTCGATGATTGAAAATATTAAGTTACTAATATATTCATTTATTAAACAACTCTAGTTCTTTTAAGCAGTTTTCTTCTTGTTAAGGGGATCCTAAAGACAATTAGTGTAAGTAGGCCATACAAATGATTTACGTATCATTAATCATTACATCAATATCTCATGCACACATAAACTGTCATGTAACAATGATGTTTTATTACATCTAAGTCCAATTCTAGAACTCGACGTTAATAAGATTGGAAAGAAGAATTCCGTTTATGTGAATATCATCTAAATACGAGAAGCATCACTTGACGATCAAAGTTAGATATTGAATTAATACATGTACGTATATTCTTCTAAATAAATTTATTTTACTTTTGCGGATACTGCATCGTTCCACGTGTCGATAGCATCGCGGGCTTGTGAACTGATCCATCCGTCTGATCCATCATCGATCGGAAGCACATGATAAAATAAATCACACATTTAGTAAATTTGTGTGTTTTCGTTCAGAGAGCATTTCGCGGACGTGAGGCATGTGCAAACATGATGTAAGAAGACAAGGTATACCATTCCCGAGGAGAGTAAATTGTTGGGAGAGTAATTTGATTCTTACATCATGTGTGCAAGTACATCGTGCATGATTCTCCTTGCCCAAGTGTAACATTATGAATTTATCTTATAAATTTATCTAATACTAATTTATTTATAGATCCGGGTTCAACTCCCGGCCGAGGTAATATTTTTCGTCATAGATTTTTAAGGTGTATATAATTAAATTTGAAGGATTATAATATTTCAGATGAAATTATAATACGTTGAAAAGTCCAATGGTAACGGCACGCAATCATATTTCTGAGATAAATTCATTTAGAAGAATATGCGTACAATACGTAATAATTAATAGTGCAATGTCTTTGACCGTGGCATTTGTCGTATTTAGGTGATGAACTCACATTGTTTCTTCTTAAATTACTATAGTCGGTGGACTATTATTTCGTAAAACAGATTGCATAGCTTTTATGTGAACCAAATGTCACGACGTGACAGCTGTAAAACGTCATGTCAGAATAAAAAAGTAAAGATCTCAATTTCGAAATTTTGTATCGTTTTCAGCATGAATTCTATCTCACAGATACGTATTAATGCGTATACTTCAATTCTGGTAAAGAATTTTCGAAACTGTATAAGAAAAAAAAGTAATTGTTATACAAAAAATTATATGGTTTAGTCAGTAATAGAGACGGCTTTAGGATCCTCTTAATGCGTTTCTCATTCATTTATTATTTTGTTATGAGATTATTGAAAAGTAATCTCAAAATACAATAGATATTGTAAAAACATCTTAAAACAGTATTTCAAAGACATCATAAATTGGGCACTTTAAAATTGGACATTGCAATAACGTGTTTCCAGTTTTACAAAATATTTTCGAAATGCTACATTTTAATATAATTGTATATCATAATGTTCTTTAAGATAGACATAATACAAACAACTTAAGCATAAAGCACAAGACCTTAATAATAATATGTAGAAAGGGAAAAAATAAACATTATTGAACTCTTTTTAATAAAAACAAAAGCTTCAATAATCTTTATTATATAAGCACAATTGCCCAAGATATGACTATATGTAAATGAAAGAAAAAGAGATATAACGGTTATATTTTTCTTCTTTATTTATTTAGTTTACTCACTAAAGCATTGTCAACATAAAACTCACTCAATCTATTTAGTGAATTCAACAGGTATTAATTGTATATATATTCTAGTTTTCTATATATATTTCAGTTTTCTCTAAAAATTACTATACATGAAAATATTGAAATACAAATCATAAAATAAATGCACTAATTGATCAAAAATCCAATATGCATTCCCCTAAAAATGTGATTACCAACATTGATATATTTTATTATTTCACTATACTATATTATATTTATTTTAAAAATATTTATATCGAATTTTTTCTTAATAAACGTATAGTAATCTTTAGTAAGTACAAATGTCCAAATTTGCTATATATTATATTTATATTATATATTATATCTACTCAACATCTAATGATGACATATTGATTAGAATTGACCTAAAAATTGGGACTAAATTAAGTCAATAATCTTCACGAGTTCACAATATGGACGTTTAATTGTATCTGCCAATATATAAAAAACTTAAATCTTGAATACATTTATGTCATAAAGATTATGTGAAAATCTATATATTATATGATTATGCATTGTAAATACAAAATTCACACACAAATTGGGATGTAAAAAATATCTTAAAATTACATTTAATTTCGTAAGGGAGGTCCCATATAGTCTAGACTCGTAGAGTAAAAGTCTGGCAGATTCTCTACAACTGATAATTGCACTTCTTCGATTATATCTATCGATTCTGTATATAATTTAGACTTGACTGTCTTGAAGAATGTACACGGTCTTGTTCCTTTGCCAAACTCATCGACGTCGTATGGTGGACTGAGTATGTCTAGGAAAGCTGCAGGACCTTCCACGCATGAAATTTCATGAAGATTTTTTTCTGTTGGTGTAAAAATGCAAGCAGGCGAATTGCTATGAAGACAGATAGGTCGATGCTTAACTGCTGCAATCTCTTCCTTGGCTTTAATCACATGATTACTCTTTGTCTTCAAACTGTAGCTGCTTAATTCTACCATACCACTGATCACCTATATTATAATATCTGTATTATAATTCGTATATGTTATTGTCGTATGAGGAGCAGACTTTCAAAATGTGTTTTGTCCAAAATTTATAATTTTTAGAAAACGAGAATGAAATCATGCGCCTTATAGAAAATATCAATTTACCAATTAGTAAGATGTAAAATATAGATCAAGCTTTATAGTATAGATGTAAGACGAATATTAATCTTAATAAAATCGTGATCTTTAATTAAACGACAAAATATATATGTCCAAATATTAGGATAAAATTTGGTGTCATAACGAACGTTAACGACAAATGAGACAGCGTTCCGAATAATGTGTATATTAATTACAGAAATTATAAGTATGAATCATAAAACATCAAGATTAAAAATTGTTATTGAAAAATTGATGTAAATAAACAAATGTAAGAATCATCTAAATGGTGAATCATCATCTTTGGTGTCCTTTTGTAAATTTATACTGCATAACTATTCTTTATGTATGTTGACGAGATTATTTTAACTGCGATCAAATTCAAAATATTGTAAACGTTTTTTTGTAAATTTGTCAACAGTTTCAATAATCATCTATAATATTCATATTTAAAAGAAAACAACTACTATAGACAACAACTATAACTTGAGCTTTTTAGGTCTCTTTAAGGATAATACAATATTTGTAAATTGGTAAAAGATCTTTTCGCGAAGAAGTTTATCATTTTTTCCATTCGTTAGGTTATAAGATTGGAATATACAATCTTGTTCATAGAGTGATTTTATTGTCTCATCCTGTCTTTCAGGAGAACTTTGAATATTTATCAAATTGCTTTTGGAAAATTACCATCCATTAAAATTAATTTTTAGAGAAGTAGTTTTTAAATTATAATAGTTTTAAAAAAAACCTATCTAGTAGTAAAATTTAGTAGTAAATTCTAATCACAAAAAATATTTTATACTTCCGTTTATACATAATATACTGTTGTAAAATGGGTGAACAAATCTTTGTTTAAGGTAAGCTACAATGTTTGAATCAATAAGTTCATAAAAATATAGACATAAAAGTATATACAAAAATGTATAACAGAAGTTCAATCTAAATGCAACGTGGTCTATAAGATCAATTGTAATGTGTCTTATGTTGGCCGTAAGAAAAAAATGAAACTAAATGAAAAGATAACTAAGTACGAGAATTACAGAGCATATTAATAATATCAAAATAGATTTGTCGAAACACTTTGTGATCTTTGAGCATACTTTGAACTTTAATCTCTCCATTAAAAAAAAAACATTAAAATACAGTTAAATGAATATAAATCTGTAGAAA